CTAGGCTAGGGCTCTCTCTCTCTCTCATCTCTCTCATCTCTCTCTCTCACTCTCTCTCAAGATAATAAGAACTCCTGCAGTTTCAAGACTCGGCATGGGGCTGGCTGTGCGGGCTCTTCGCATAGATTTCGTCCTGGAGCATGGCGCCTGGGGGAAAAAAAGCTTGCGCTCCGGTCGGCTGTGCTCCATCATGCCTCAGTCAGTCTTCCATGTAGCGCACCCATGGGTTTGGTCCCTCTCTTCTGTAGCGAGCACATTTGTTATGTAGCCGTCCAGGGCTTGGGTCGGGTGCTGAACATGCATTGGGACTTGAGGAGGGGCGGTAGTACTCGGGCTCAGGTATTTCAGCGTCTTCTTGCTTTGCGGCTACCTCCGCTGTGCTTTTGGTCGCCGTGTAAATTAAATATAATGCTTCTCTCAGGTTTCTGTGTGCCTTTGTCTTCTCTGGCTATAAAATTAAATCCCTTCCTTAAGGCAAACCAAACCCGAACTCGAAGTTCTTCTGGCTTTGGGGCTTAGTGTTTGCGGTTAAGAGGTTTAAGCAAATAGCAACCCAGACTGTGCCTCCAAAAACCCCCCAATTCCCTCCGAGTAAGCAAATAGCAACCCAGACTGGGCCTCCCAAAACACCCAAATCCCTCCGAGTAAGCAAATAGCAGCCAGACTGGGCCTCCAAAAACACCCAAATCCCTCCGAGTAAGCAAACAGCAACCTAGACTGAAAAACCCTAAATCCCTTCGAGTAAGCAACTAGCAACCCAGACTGGGCCTCCAAACACACCCAAATCCCTCCGAGTAAACAAATAGCAACCTCCTTTAAGGGGGGTAAGAGTTTAGGGTTTAAGGCTCCTTAATGGGCTCCTTGAAGACGTTTAAGGGTTTAGGGTTTAGGGTTAAGGGCTCCTTTAAGGAGTTCAGGGTTTTCGGGGTTTAGGGTTTAAGGCTCCTTTATGAACCCCCAAATCCCTCCGAGTAAGCAAATAGCAACCCAGACAGGGCCTCCAAAAACACCCAAATCCCTCCGAGTAAGCAAATAGCAACCTAGACTGACCCTCCCCGCAGGACTCTGGATGTGGGCGACTCTCTTTATCTTCGGCAGGCCCGGGTACTTTGCAAATCGTGATCTCTGCTACTGTTGGTGGGGGTCGGTCACTGAGCTGGTCGAGACTGGAGATGCTGTGATGAGGTTTCGCGCTTGCTGTGCTCATCAACAGTTTCATGGCATGGTGGTCATGTGCAATGCGTGAACCAAAGCGCAGAGGTTTGGCCTCAAGTCGGGTCTTCATAATTATATATGCTCAGGCTTTTCTTCTACAGACAACACGGACCTTGCATGAAGTTTCGGTCTGAAGTACTTGTGACTGACACTCAATCATCAGGACATAATAAAGTCATGCTGTCGCCGGACGATGTTGATGATGCCCCTGGAACAGCTGGCTGGGCAAGCCGTCCCTGTCAGCCTTGCTTGCCTGACTGCCTTCGCTGCCGCCTGCGAAACGGCAGCTTGTCTGGGGTGTTTCCATCTGTCCTCCCTGAAGGTTCAGGGTGTAGCAGCCTGGATTGCGGTGCGGTAAATGTAGCTAAGCCAAAGCGGGGTAGAGGTTCTGGCATGTCGTCTAATTCAATTTGAGCAATGACCAATGAGCCAACATCACCCCACCAGGGCTGAAGCAGACTTTGTGATAAGTGATTCTGTTTGCTTCATAATTAGGTCGCTTTTAAGCAATCAGAATTACATGTCTGGCAAAGTCCTCTGCGTTTTCTGCAGAAACAGTCTGTGTTCAGGATATACTGGACGTTTTCGCAAGGGAAGTAGCGTGCCTCTTATGGCGTCCTGGCACCACTCCTGGAAGAGGCGAACTACATTCTGTCATCCTGCTACGAAGAAGGTTCATTCGTGGCTCATGGAGACTGGCCCTGCCGTGAATGACGGGAGTGGCTGGGGCATGGGTTGCTGGTTGTGCCACCACATGGGATGCAAGTCAGCCTTCGGTAAACTTCGAGTGCAGAGCACCGGGACGGTGGCAATTCAGAACTTGCTCACACATGGTGAAGGTAAGAAGCACAAGGCAGCTCTGGTTAAATTGCAGGCTTCTTTGGAGGTCACTTCAAGGGACATTGCCCCCGACATCGAAGGCCATATTTCTGGCCTCAGCTCGCAGGTTCCGAGAGTAGATCGCTTTGTGGCAGTGGCGACCTCTGTGATCAAGTACGACACATATGATTCGTACAAGGACCGACTGAGTCAGCTTTCCATCCACTCAAGCCTGGAGGTGGGCGGCAAAGGCAGCCAACAGGAGTTCAAGCAGATGGTGGCGTGCTTGGATGGACCGCTGCAGGACCGCAACAGGCGTGTCATCAAGAAAGCCATCTGCTCCAGCATTGCTCTGGATAAAAGTGATGACAATCTTATCATGATAGCCAGGGTCTTGATCCCGGAAGGGATCTTCGATGCTATCCTCGGCTTGGAGAGTAATGTTGGCCCTGATGTGGAGCATGTGACCCAAGCGATTGAGAATATCGTTCGTAGAGCCTGCGTCAATCAGAAGTCACGCCGAGATGTGAAGGTTGGGCGGAGTGATATGATTAATGGTATATTTCCATGTTAGACTAGGCAGCAGTGCAATGGAATAATTGCACATCTCTTTCAGGTCTCTTTGTATGATTCCAAAGACGACGAATTGGATGAGGACGGGCTGTAGCAAAACAATAAGGTAAGTGTCGAATCAGCCCCGTCATTTCACTGTTGTTTTAATCAGACTAGGCGGCCATGACGACTTTCGTACGGAGTGTCCGATCCGCGGTGGCCGACGGTGGACCAGTTGAGCAGAAAGCTCTTTTCCTTTCCTCCCCGAGTTGCCATGTCTTGGAGCAGGCCCCACGCCAAGGCACTGCATACTTTCGGAACCTGTCCTTGATTGACAGGGATCGCCCTCATCGGCACCGTAGCGTCATTCGAGGAATGTGGGGCAACCTGAATAGCACGGTGCGTGAATTCTTGGACAAACTCGTGACTGGCCAGCGCAGTTTGTGCAAATTGATCCAAACAAGCAAGAGGTACGCCACGTACTTCAACTTGGCACAGACTGGAGTCAAAATCGAGGACTTTGGACACACGATCCGCAACCTGTCCTACTCCGAAGTCCGCTTCGACTCGCGCTCTAGGCCGTTATTTCGTCTTTTTAGACTCCTGCCAGTTGCCATCGATACCTTGAGATTCTTGGTGGAGGGCGGCAACGACGAGGAACGTGCCTTTGCTACGGAGCTTTTGGCCTTGTTTTCTGGGGACGAGGGCTTTGTGAGAGTGATTGGAGCTGCAGTGGCGGCAGATGCCATGGTCATGGGGTGGCATTACATCCGGCTCGATGATCAGGCAGCAGCTGATGCGAGCTTGAGCGGGCCACGGGCAGCGCAGCTGCTGCATGAGATGCGGCAAATGCTCGATGCCGGAGGACTTTTCATGGAAGAGGCCAGCGGGACTTTAACACATGCAGCCTTAGAGGCCATGAAGAACCGCTTGGTTTATGTCGGTGCAAACAAAGCTGTTGCCTTGGGTTGGCCAGCGGCAGAGGGCAAGCGTCGACGTCCTCGCACAATGGCCAAAGAGACACTGATTCGCATTTACTTGATATAGACTATAGACACTGTAGCTGACCCGTGCTTTCCCAATAAGACTACCGTCCCACCTCTGATTCGCACCAGACAAAGGTTTTTCCAACTGTTCCAATCCTTCTTTGAAGCCAACTTTCCCAATTTCGAGGACCTCTCCTCCGTTTATTGGCATGCTAGTCTGAATCTTTCCACTCTGACATGTTAGAGGCCACTGACTTTTCTTTAAACGGATTCGCAGGATGCCAACTGTTTTGCAGCCTTCAACTTGGAGCAAGACATCCACTTGCAGGACCGGAAGAAGTTCCTGGCGGCCTTGTGCAGCCGCTTTAATCTGGATCCTCAAAAGGCGTGGCGAAGTTTTGTGGGAGGACTGGACGGGACGATTCTGCCAACCCCAAGCTCTCTAAGCCACTAACGAAAATGTTTTCTGACTCCACTGTTGTTATCCTATTCAGATTCAGGGTGGTTAAGAGAAAACGAGAAATCTGATAATGAGATGCCTTGTCGTCAATGTTGGTCAGTGACAATTGAATTGAACGACTCCCAAAAACCCCGAAATCCCTCCGAGTAAGCAAATAGCAACCCAGACTGTGCCTCCAAAAGCCCCCTGAATCCCTCCGAGTAAGCAAGTAGCAACCCAGACTGTGCCCCCAAAAGCCCCCAAATTTTTCCGAGTAAGCAAATAGCAACCCTGTCTGTCTGTTTGTCTGTCTGTCTCTTTGTCTCTCTCTCTCTCTCTCTCTCTCTCTCAGTCTCTCTCTCTCTCTCTCTATTTCTCTCTCTTTCTCTCTCTGGGATTTGGTCTCTATTTCTCATTCTCCTTTCCGGTCTGGCACTATCTCCTTCAGCCCCTTCGCCTTCCTTGCCTGGTGTCAATTGCCCACTGTGCCCAGTCAGTCGGACGTTCAGGATTCTTCGAGAAAGCCAAGTGGCATGTATCTCCTCCTGGCATTGCTGCTTCATCAGCTCGGCGGCCAGAGGACCCTCACAAGAAGATTGTTGTTCACCTGCCAGATACAGCCAGCCAGCGAGGTTGGCTGTCCGCTTGGCAGGAGATCAGGCAGAAATCTGGTGCAGATCATCAGGAACTTTGCAAGCTTGTCGAGGTGTACTTGAGCAATATGTCTAACTCTGGAACAGTAGATCGTTACTTGGGACAGGTCAAGCTGCAGTCGCTCAGACGGGGTCACATTGCTCGTGGTGGGTTAGAGTGCGCCCTGCGCGTGACCGTGCAAGACTTGGGCGGACGTGCAAGGAAGAAACTTGATGCAACCGAGCTTCTGGTGGAAAAGGTTCCCAAGACGACGGCTGGCGGCGCATGCGTCGCCCAGCCGGCAACCCATTACGCATTGCATTGTCAAAAGCTGTACTCTTTGTGGTTTGGAGACAGATGCCTCCCAGGGAGACGAATGGAGCCCGACAGCATGCAACCGGAGAAAGTGGCGAAGTCGCGTGCGCAAGCCAGCAAACCTCGTCTGGCGCCGCTGCGGGACAAAAGCCAGTACTCTGAGGCTGCCGCTTTGCAGAAACACAGGGATGCGGTGTCCAAGGCCGTCAATAAAATCGAGCAAGGTGGCGGCGGCGAAGCTCACGGCCCATTAGGCCCCGTGTCATTACCTGCCGAAAAGACACGAGGTGCCAAGAGAATCGTCTCCCAGCAGGCCTCTGCTTGTGTGGACGTGGCCAAAAGACGGCGGATGCTGCCTGATGCTGCAGGCGCTTCGGGGTCATCTGCTTCGGCTTCTTCCAGTTCGGCTGTGCCAGCGAGACCAGCGGCAGAGGAAGCCGCTGCTGCCGCTGCTGCCAAGTCCACCGACCCCGTGCACAAGAAGCAGGCCTATGTCTTGGAGATGAAGCGGCAGATGGCGCAACAAACTGTGCCATGCATGCCCACTCCTTACGTGGATGCCAACGGTGGCGTAATGCGGGCGGACAAGGGCCCTGTTGCAAAGTCATTGGTTGCACCTCCTTTACCTTTGGCTCCTCGGCTGCATCGTTGCCCTACCATGGCCACGATTAAAGCCCCATCCCACTTTATCAGAACCCCAGACTTTCAACTGCCCGATGTAGTGCTGGTGCGGGATCTCGTGGCAGCGTGGGAAAGTTCCCACGCCCTGCTGGCACGTCTGGTTGGTGCTCGTTTGGTGAATCAGGCTTGGCTGCAGTCCCAGGGCTCTGCTGGCCAGTCCGACGAAGGGGCCCAAGTCCATTCATTCAAGTCGGTGATGAGGTCTATGCACTTCGACCTGTATCTCAGCCCAGGGTTCTTCATTGCACACCCGGAGCATGCCTCAGTGTTCAGGGAGTGGGCCAAGCTGAGCCCAACCATGAAGAGCAGAGGCCTTGAGGTGAAACGGCTCACGGTTCAAGATCTGCGTGTCGACAAGTTTCCCGATCAGCCGTTTCCTGGTGTCACATACATAGTCAAGGCGGTCGGAGAAGATGTAAATATCAAAAACCAACAAGGCCTGACTCTGTCAGAGATACTGTTGAAAATGACAGTATTGCAGGGGGAACACGAGAAATCGTGTTCACGGTGATGAACACCGACATTTGTGCAGTCAGCCCCGGGGAGCGCGTGGGGTGCAGCGGCCGGCTTCCGTGAAGAAAAGCAAGTTATGTCAGTGGCGATCACTTAATCTATCACGCATCATCCTATTGTCTCTTTTCTCATTTGTCTCTTTTCCGCCAGGCGCCGCCAGTGCCTGCCGCCTCGAGATGGACACGCAGGCAGGACGTCTGTGTGTTTGAAGACAAGTGAAAATTTTGCTTGATCGTGGGATCCCCGAAGTTCATCCCTAGAATCGCTGCCTGTCACAGAACCATCGTGTAGGGATGACCGGGCCCAGTCATCCCTGGCAGGCCTGGTGAATCACATGCGGAATGCGATTCGTCTGTAGGGATGAGATTAGGAACTGTCCCCGGGGTTGGGAAAGAGAGGCCCCTGGGGATGACCGGAGCCGGTCATCCCTACAGGGGCTTCCTGGCAGGAGTGGCCGTTCTGGGGATGGGAGTTTGTATTTAAATCTAAATGCATGCTCGAGTCTTTCGCTTTTAGCCTGGCGCGCAGTGCCCAGTATGCGAATCGCGGTGTGCAATCACGGTGCAGACCCTGTGCGCATGGTTCGTTGCCTGGGCATGGGTCCGGACAAAATCACCGCGTACATCAATTTCTTCGAGGAGGCCTGGCAGAGGAGCGAACAAATTCCTTCATCTCTTGTCAATGCATATTGCTGCAGAGTCTGATCGTGTGCAGGCAGATGTGGGGTGGCTTCGTGCTCTTTACGGTGCTGCGGACGGCTCCGGGGAACGACCTCTCCAGCTTCACAACGTGCGGGTTCAGAACGGCAAGCCATTGTTCTGTTTTACCTGCGGGTCCTCCACATGCGTGCAATTGGCCCACCCGGTCGACTTGCTTCATCTTCGAAGCCAGGCTGTAGCTGTGAAAGGGAAGGACAGCCGCGAGGAAATGGCGGCTTACCTGGACCTATTGAAGCCGAGGTAGGGGCTTCACTTTCTAAGAATAGTGCAGCGCGCCCTGCAGCAATGACAGTGTTTGTGCCATGCTGTTATTTGCCAGGCTCGCAATCATTGACGTGCATGCGTGCCCAGAGCATAAGCAACGTGAAGGCCTTGCAGAACTCACGTCTACATTGCAGACGACTTACAATGTGGAGTCCCACGGCAACTTTTGGATCCTGGCCTTGGATCGGCAGTGCCTAGGACGACTCGGTGCTCCGGATGCTGAAAAGAAGACGAAGGAGATTCTGGCAGATGCACTTCAAGGGTCAGAGTTCCCTGTGAAGGAGCCGGATTGGACATTTTTCTGTACTCAGGAGAATACCAAAGAGGAGCTCCAAGAGATCATTCCTGAATATGCGAAGCTTCCGAAGCCGGTGAAGAAGTGCTTGCGGTTCCTCAAGCTGCCTGGCAAGTGCCCTGAAAAGACCAAGAAGGTTTCTGACTACTTGGTCAACGTCCATGACACCTGCAAGGAGTTCCCATCCTGGTATGCCCTGAAGCTTCACCAGAAGCCCCTTCGGAGGTGGGAAATGACCACGCGGGCTCATATCCTGGCGTTGCCGGGCGACGAGCCTGTGATCCGTCCGGTTCTGAGCGGGGATGTTTTGCGACACAAGGGGTGGCCCCGGCGCAGTTTGAATGCTTATCACGCGCAGAAGTTCCCCTGGCACTTGCCACCTGCGCAGCCATTTTGTGCCATTCTCTCGTCTCTTCTGAATCAGAATCAGAAGTAAATTTTGGAGGCCAGTGCTTTGGCATCGGGACTCTCTCGCGAGAGCAAGCAAAAACTTAAGACTGTTTGTGCCGTTTGCAAAGGCAAGCAAGTGCGTGAAGGTCTGGCATTGCGTGCGACATTCGTGCTTTGAGTGCGCTGCGAACGAGTGTGATTTCTGCTTACGAGCGGGTCTTTCTCCAGCTGTGCTCTCTTGAAGAAAGCATGGCTCCAAGCAAGAAAGCCAAGACGGCCTTTGCGACGCCATCTGCCCTGGTGAGCCATCCCACAGTCTCGGTCCCAGGATTCGGGTTCGTGTCGTGAGGGCTTCGCTGTTGTCTGGGCTTGGCTGCATGTGCTTCGGTTGTCAGAGAAGCTTAGGTCGTGGCAATGAAAAATGTCATTGCTACTTTGGACAAGGAGTACAAGAACCTGGCTTTCGCAGAGCCGGTGAGCAAGAATGGAGTGGCAGAGCTCGACCTGGATTCCTACAAGCGTGTGCTCAAGAAGGATTCTCAATATGAGTGCTGTGTCACACGGGTCTTTCTACCGGAATTGTGCCTTGCTCATGAAACCGTCCTTCCCAACTGGGGATCAATCGTCCGCTTCTTGCCTGCATGGTGTGTCACATAGAATCTGACTTTCATATTCTCGTGGCCATCAAGTCTCTTGTGCCATTACTGAACAGCCGAGGCTTGGCGCAGCAGTGGTGGCACAACGGAACAACCTGGAGTGCCCAGACTGCCTGGGAAGCAGTGCCTGTCCGCGCAACGTCGGCCAGCAGCCCGCCTCCGAAAGGCATGCTGCAGGTTCTGGGCAATGACGGGTACATCCTTGCATTCGACTATGCGTACAGCCAGGCCTTGCAGGAAAATACCAGTACTGTGGCCGAGTTTCGGGCTGCTGCAAAATCCCTCCGTGTTCGTTTCCAACTCTGCGAGAAAGACATCGACAGTGCTTTGAAGAAGTGGGATTCTAATCTGCATGATTCATGATTTCTTTGGAGATGGGTCTTCGGGATGTAGCAATCAGAAGCTTTTCTGAGGAACTTGTGGCTGGCTTGGAAAACAAGGCGGCCAATGAAACATTAACCGGATGGAAGGTGGTGCTGGGGACGGTGGAAGTGAAGGAAGCCCTGGCCAAATCCGGCGCGGTTTTCTCGAAGGGTGCTGCGGCAGACTCTTCTCAGAACATCGCGGCATTCTTCGGCAAGGCCAAGATGCAAGACGTCACAGCGAAAACCATTGCAACGAGAATGCACCCGGGCTTTCCTGCACTTAGCACTTAGCAACACACACCGTCGTAGCGTGCATGATTTATGCGTGGCTGTCCGCTCAAAGCCACAACCAAGGAGAGTCTATTCCAGATTCAGTGCACGCGCCCTTGAGGTTCTCGAACAGATGGACTCTCAGCTGGGACCCAGCAACCACGCCTTTTGCAGCTTGTCCAATCTGGACACTTTGTGTTCCAGAACATCTTGCAAGACTTCGTCGGTAGCGGACATGCTACTTGAGTGGACGCTTGAGGGCTATCTCCACGGCCTTTTGTTTGCATGGAATCCATTGTGAGCCCCCTGTTCTTCAAGCCCGGGTGCCTTGAGCCTTTGTTGTGTGAGTGTGAACCCAGGATTCAAAACGGGCACTGGCAAGCTTGGCAAGAAGGAGAGTCCGTTGAATGGTATCGGGCGTGAGCTCCTCAAGAAGCGGGTTTGCACCTTGGTTTCCCAGAAGCTCAAGCTGCCGGTCACTGCAGGAAAGGAGCGATTCGTTGGCAATGGAATTGGTTTTGGAATGCACACGGAATTGCTTTGAAACTCCATAGTCCCAATCGTTTGTATGCAGACAGGTATTCTCCCGACCGATCTCCGGCCGTGGTTCTCAGCAAGGCCGCAAGCTTAGAGTTTCGCAGGCTTAATTGCGACGAACAAGCTTGGAAGCACTGCCATTTGAACGGTGTCAAATCCAATCCATACATCAGGTCACCTCCACATACCGGGCCTTCGAGAACAGTGGCCTTGCCTTCGGTGGAGGTAGCCTGGAGTGGGTCACGATGCTGCCAGAGATGCAGCAGTTGGCCCTGGAGTTTATGTGCAGCTTGCTGAACAATGCCCCTCTGCTCCTGGAGGAAATGGAGACGGCTGTGCGAGCAGACTTCCTTGTAGCAGCCGAGGTGTGGATGGAGAGGCCACGCGTGAAGGAGATGTTTGACATCAGCAAGGCGATGGAGATGCATGCCGAAGCTCTTCGCCCGCCGCCAATCCAGCAAACTCCGCTTCCTGAAGTCCAGCCGGAGCCGGCGGACACGCAGCCGCCAGCTGAGGCCGAAGAGCAGATGCATGAGCCTTGTGTGCCAGACCCCCTGGAGCCAGAACCGGTTGCGGAGTTCGATCCTGCCTGCCACTTCCCACATTTGCATTTGACAGAGATGCAGAAGAGTATCCTGGGCAAAATCGACCAGGACAAGTTGTCTGAAATCTTGGAGAAGAGCCGCTTGCGTTTCCGGGCCTGGAATAGTGTGTCTACAGTATTGAATTTGCTGGGGGTGTTCATGCGCAGTAATTATAACACTTTGAAGAATGAAGATGTCAATTACTAACATTGATGTTAATAATTGACATCTTCATTCTTCAAAGTCTTAAAAGGCATCGAAAGATATGTCGCCATCCATGTCGGCGAGATAGAGCCGACTCCGCCAAAGACAGATGATGTTCCCAGGTTGTACATCTGGGATGTGAAGAACCATTTGATCCACAGCGGGGCGGATGCACAGAAAGCCCCCTTCAAGTTCTTCGCTCCGGGAGACATTGCGCACGCCAAAAAGATGATGACAGTTCTCTTTGAAAGCCCCGAAAACCCCGAGGACCGCCTCATGAGAGCCAACGATGTGGCAATGTTTTTCGACGGCCGCTACATGGCCTCGGATATCAAGGCCGCCTTGTCAAAGAGCCTGAAGACGGTGCCCCTCTCCATTTTGCCCTCACGCAAGATGACAGAAAATCAGCTGCATCCCAGTCTTGGCGGCACGTGTGAGCAGTTGGCATGAAACACTTATCGTTATGAGAAGTCCTATGCTTGTTCAAGCACTGCCGAGCAACGTTTTTTGCACTCAATTGTGACTCTTCTTGAGAGAATCAGAAAGAGGCTGGTAGATTTGATTGAGCTGCATTGTGAAATCGCTAGCTGGAAAACAGATTGCAGAGAGAGGGGCACAGGGGTAGGGTAGAGAGAGAGAGAGAATTTTGTTTTTGGCACCAGCCCTGGCGAGAGAGAAAGAGAAAGAGAAAG